TAAGGGGCCCACAGGAGCTGACTCTTCCTCAGGATCCAAAGGACATGCAAAAAGATCAGCCTGGTCTGCCACTGAGGATCCTGGGGAGTCCACGATGGCAAAGGAAGCAGTGGGGGAGAAGTCCTCCTCCTCCTCCTCCTCACTCTCAGGAATGGTGAGCCCATGCCTTGGCTGGGCCTCTGGAGAGGGATCCCTAGGTGAGACCGGCTTGGAGGCCTGGGCCTGTTGTTTGGCCTTGGAAACTTGCTTCTCTAAGCCCTTCTGCCGGCGGAGGATGTCCTTATCTAGACCTGAGCCCTGCTTAGACCCCTGTCTGGAATATGGTTTGCTTCCCCTGATGGCCTCCCGGGCTGCCTTGCCAGCTTGTCTGGAATATACTCTGGTGGAAGGCCCTGGCTGCTCTGAACCTTCAGGGACCTGGTCTGCCATGGCTGGAGCACCGGGACTTAACTGCTAAGGCAGGGAAACCCCACTTACCACCTTCACAGAAAAAGCTAGTTGTCAAAGCACTCAGAGGAGAGACACGGAAGGCAATGGGAAGCAAGACCAGCCAACTGTAAAAATGATGCCTTCCGGTGCAAGTTCCAACTGCTCCCAGGACCACGCATGTCAGCAGAACCCAGGGGAGCCAAGCCCTCCTTTGCTGCCACCTCAGTTGCTCTCAAGAAAAGGAAAAGGAACCAGGCCACCGGCAAACTGGACAAAAAGACTCCACGTAGTGACCTGCTGAGCTAGGTGACCAGGCAGCTGCGGCTAGAAGCGCAGGAAACCGAAATTAGGAAACAAAATGGCAGCTGGAAGTTTTGACCTCTTCAAAATGGCCGTCTGAACTTTTGGGAGCCCTGAAGCATCGCGCCGATCGGCAGCTCCTTTAAATGAGCGCAGTCGTCGGCAGCAGATATCTCAGTGTGGAGCCTGATCGTAGCAGGGCTGCAATTGCGCTGGCGTCGGCATTCCACGCGCCTCCCTCAACAGCTTCCTGCAGCCTCGCGGCGCCCGGGTGAGCCCAGGACACCAGGGAGGCTGAGAAAGGTGATTCATTCAATTAAAGAAACAGAAATTTTGCTCACCCAGCCTGCTCACAATGAAGGCAAGAAAAAATCTTCTTATGGTAAAATGGAGAGTCCAAGCTATCTGCAAGGATTGAAGAGAAATTTAAAGCACGTCCACCGGGCCGATTGAATTGAAAAAAACTGAAGATGATCAGCACCAGAGACCTGGCTTAAAGTTTCAATTCAGTCCTGGGCAGATTGGCTGTATTTAACTCATGCTTGGACTCTCCAGAGGAGCACCCAGGAAAAATTTCTGCTTTCACTATGCCCTATATATATATACTTGTAAACAAAACTCATAAGGACAAGATAAAATCTCTGATGCTTTCTCATCTAAAGGAATTTAAATTCCAAATACTGCCACTGGAACTACTCTTAATATATGGGGCATAAATAGACAATCTAATATATACGACTACTCAGATTTATGTCAGTTTATATAATTCTGCACACATGAGGAAAGTGATTAAACAGTTCTTACATTAGAAACACACTCCATAGCTTGTCTATCTCTTTCCTTCTTGTAACTACAATTTAGAGCTATTGATATATAAAACCAAGCAATAAAAAAGAAGAAATACTTCAGTGTTATAAGCATTGCAGTCAAGACTATTTTCAACAATGAACAGCTCCAGTGATACAAACATAACTTTAAAAAAAAGTTTTAGGCAATTTGTGAGAATACGAAATGTGACAAAAAGTATAAGTAAAATGAGTTATATGAAGGAGGCATCTGGGTTTGTTTACTTTAAAAAAATACTCATCTGCAACAATAAACCATTAAGCCTTTTTGGAAAATATTTTCAACCAATTATTGCAGTTGCCAGCTAAACTGTGACCTCTGCATGCCAATGCTACATGTAGAAAAATCACTAACTGGCAGATAATATTGGCCTTACTTTTTTTACTTGTTCCAGCCAATCTCAATTAGCTTTGTTCCCTTCCATCTGCATCTATATATATGTTCACTAATCAAGTAAAAGATATGAAATACAATAGAGGAAATGAATTCAGAACACCCTTCATCCCAAATTGAATAAGATCTCAGATTCAACCCCCTATAAAGCATGACTGGTAAAGCCTGTGGTCCAGAAGCTGTAGAGTTGTGAATTGTTAGAGAAGGCAATTATTTTATCCACGGGACCGTGACTCATTTGGTATAAGGTCATTTTAGATATTCCCATGGGACTAAAACATACCATATTTTTCAGAGTATAAGACGCACCAAGGTTTTGAAGAGGCAATTTTTTTTAAAAAGTAGGTAGGTAGATAGAGGGAGAGAGAGAAAGAGAGAGGGAGAGAGAAATACAGTAGATAGCTGGGGGTTTCTGCTGTCACAGCACTTGATCAATGTAATTCTCATCAATCAGTAAAAGAGCTTTCCGAAAGGGGGGGGGAAAAGTTTTTACACTCTGCAAACCTCCCCAAATCTGCCTGTTTTTCACGAAAATGGCCCTGTTTGTTTTTCAAAAAAGGCATGAATAGCCTTGGGGGAGCTTGCAGAGTGCTCCTAGGGGGTGGGGGTGGGCAAAAATTGAGCAAAAAACGGCCTGATTTTCATGAAAATGGGAAAAATTGCATGCATAGCCTTATGGAGGCTTATAGAGTGCTGCTGGCGGCTGGGGGGGGGCAAAAAACGGCCCATTTTTCACTCATTTCTGCCCTCCCTAGCCCCCAGGAGCTCTCTGAAAGCCTCCATAAGGGTATGCACACCATTTTGGTGAAGGGAGTGGGGCCATGGGAGGCAAAAAACGGTGTATAAGACGCACCCAGATTTTCAGTCTCTTTTCTGAGGGGAAAAGGTGTGTCTTATACTCTGAAAAATATGGTATGTCTGGTATAACTGAACAAATTGGAAGTAAAGCATATTTTAACTAATGCAACATCCACTTCTAAACATCAAGCAACCTGTCCACATTCCTTGATATATTTAGGTATTTGTAAATATCTTACTATGATATTCCTTTATCACAACTACATTGCACAATTTTTTTGTGAGTCATTCCCAATTAACACTTCACAGAATATCTTATTTGCCTGTCCACATTTTATATTTGTTTTGATTGATGTGAAAGATCGATCAGAATGAAAACATCATGCACTTCAAAAGCTGTATTTTCAGTGTCAAGAAAAATATCACAAAAACTGCCCCAAGGTTAAGACAATGACTAGCTGCACTTCACTTAGCACATTTGTTTTCCTCAAATGCGAGGTAATAATAGAAGATGTACTTTTATGATTACCGGTAGTTATAAAAGAGCATGGAAGATTCCTCAGGGGACCAAGCAGTAGGAGAGATAAATGACCTCTTAAACACTCATCTATCCCTCCTCACTGTGAATGTCCTAATCAGGAGCTTAGGCAGATGAGGAAAAAGAGGCTGGTTTAGTAATAGGCTCTTGGCATGATGCCCAGCAAAGCTGGCCTATCATAGTGACCCAAGCTGTGCCAGGAAGGAAACAGAGGAGCCTTTTCAAGAACGAATTGCCCTTTCCATATTCTTAAGAGGCGCTTTATTCTCTGCTGTTATTTCTCACTTGCCATGCAACTGGGAGGAAGTAGAGATCCAGAGGGCACTGACAGTCACTATAACAGCCTTTGTAAGAGCAGCAGCCCTAAATCCTTTTAACAAGAAAAAAGACCCTAAGGGGACATACAAAAAACTAGATGCCAAATCCAGCTTCAGAGCAAGAGGAAAACGAAGTGTTACACATAGGAAAGATATTGAGAAGATTCCACAGAGGACCAAGCGTTAGTAGAGATAAATGACCTCTTAAAAGCTCATCTATCCCTCCACACTGTGAATATCCTAATCAGGAGCTTAGACAGATGAGGAAGGAAAGGCCCCAATTAAAAAACAAATCTTCTCTGTAGAAATAGTAAGAAATCAATTTAATATACATACATAGAGTTTAGACAAAGAGATCATTTCCTAGATAAACATTATAGTCAATTAGTGACTATCCGCTCCCATCTTGACACAGGCATACATTTTCTATTAACATATAAATAATAATTCTCTGCTACGGGCTAAGCATGAATTTTACATTATGAATAGTTACAAGATTCTTCAACTGTACACAAGTCTACAGAAAAATCAAAGGAAGATGCAGCTGGTAAGGTGTTTGCTTGACCTTGTTTTTTTTAAAGGCTCTCCCTCCCAGAAAGAAAGCACATTGAGAATGGTGGATTTAAACAAGACATAGCTCACATATTATATTAAACTATAATACAGTTTACTTGATTCATATATAGCATATTTCATATGTTAGCTTATACCCAGCATATCTAACTGAATAAGTTAATAAGCATAAATAAGCATGACTAGCAAACTGTGGCTTTACATAATGTACAAATTCAGCCCCAAACATGCCTTCTGCCCCTCAACTTTCAGTGAATGTTCTTTTTTTATTAAAAAAAAGAGATGATCACAATACATATGGTCTGGGGATTAGTATTTTATTAATATTATTTATATTTTTAAAATACATGTTTCAACAACCAGCTATCCTGAATCCCCAAGAAGAGTCTTTTTCTTTAAGATGTATATAAATATTATAGGATTTCGCTTCTGGAACAAGCTGGTAAATCCTTCACAGGATGTTTTCTTACTAATTTTATACCCAAAAGATTTAATAAATAGAAAACAATATCTTGGAGTTCTATCATTCCCAGCCTTCTTCTAAACACTGGCAACAAAGTCTATTTACTATAAGCATCCATGTGACGTAAAAACTTTCATTTGGGAGGATAGCTGAGAAGAGAAGGCCAAAAATATTTATAGTAATATTTTTAAAGAGTAGTTATCAGAGCTCTTGATCAGGGTAGAATTCACATCCTTATCCCATGAAAGGACTGAGGTTTATACAGATTTATTATCTAGGGCAACAAACATTTTGATGACTACAACAATCCTGATATTATACCATAAGAAGAAATTGTACTTACAGTAAATCTCTCAGGGCTGTCTTAAAGATGATGCGGAGGAAGTTCCACCCACCACTGCCAATATAAATGCCCAAAGCAGCTGCAATACTCCATGTCCAAGATATGCCAAAGAATCTCATGAGGCCCAGTGATCCAAGGGAAGCAGTACAAACCCCAATTGTGTGCATTCTGGAAAATGAAATAAACTTCATGTAAGCTACTAGGATCCTCTAATTATAAAATACAGTTAAAATAAACAGAAGATGATCACAAGGAGATAGGCAAACTGGCCATATAACACAGATGAGACAAAGGTGAAAGGAGCAAATGAAAGGGGCAGGCTAGTCTTTATTTATTTATTTGGTTTATATCCCACTTTCCTCTAGTACAGGTAATCCTTGACTTATGACCATAATTGAGCCCAATATTTCTATTGCTAAGTGAGAAATTTGTTACATGAGTTATGTCCCATTTTACAACCTTTCTTGCCACATTTATTAAGTGAATCACTACAGTTATTAAAGTTATTAATATAGTTGTTAAATGAGTCTGGCTTACCCATTGACTTTGCTTGTCAGAAGGTCATAAAAGGCGATCACATGACCCTGGGACACAGCAACAGTCATAAATACAAGCCATTTGCCCAGAGTCCAAATTGTGATCACGTGTCCATGGGGATGCTTCAGCGGTCATGTGAAAAATGATCATAAGTGACTTTTTCCAGGGCCGTTGTAACTTTGAATGGTCACTGAATGAACTGTTGTAAGTCAAGGACTACCTTATCTCAAAACAATAGGCACAATACTCTTTCCTCCAATTTTACCCTAAAGGTGATCCTATCAGAGAAGCTGAGAGATAATACCTGGCCCAGTCACCCACTGAACTTCCATGCCTGCGTGGAGACTTGAATCTGGACTTGGTCAAGCATCCTCATTATATACCACATTTCTTTATCAGAAAAAATAGATGGTCTTTGCCTGAAACCATATTCTCCTATTCTTTCCTACTTTTCTTAATTGAAGTCAGAGGCCAAAGGTCTAATTCAGGGGTATCAAACTCACGGCCCGTGGGTCACATGCTGGTCACGCTCTGGCCATGGCCACCCCCACCCCCATTTAGCAAAGGGGAAAAGGCTCTGATAGGTCACATGATGACAACATGACTCTGCGAGTCTGACAGCCCTGGTCTAATTTATTTTCAAACACTTTTCTGATCACATAGGGAAGCATTTGGTCACCATAATGTAGAAAAGATGTGGAGACTCTGGAAAGAGTGCAGAGAAGAGCAACAAAGATGATTAGGTGACTGGAGACTAAAACATATGAGGAACGGTTGCAGGAACTGGGTATGTCTAGTTTAATGAAAAGAAGGACTAGGGGAGACATGATAGCAGTGTTCCAGTATCTCAGGAATTGCCACAAAGAAGAGGGAGTCAAACTATTCTCCAAGGCACCTGAGGGTAGAACAAGAAGCAATGCGTGGAAACTAATCAAGGAGAGAAGCAACTTAGAACTGAGGAGAAATTTCCTGACAGTTAGAACGGTTAATCAGTGGAACAGCTTGCCTCCAGAAGTTGTGAATGCCCCAACACTGGAAGTCTTTAAAAAGATGTTGGATAGCCATTTGTCTGGAAAGGTATAGGGTTTCCTGCCTAGGCAGGGGGTTGGACTAGAAGACCTCCGAGGTCCCTTCCAACTCTGCTATTGTATTGTATTGTATTGCATTGCATTGCATTGCATAGCATTGACCTTTCCTTTGCTGCAGAGTTGGCTAGTTTAAGGCTTACAAGTTCTATTTTATTTTTTGCCAATCGCAGCTGTACTCAAAATAATGCTCAGCTTGTCATACATATGTTGAAGAGGAAGGGAAGATACAACTGAGCACATGTTCAGCACAGAAATTAATGGTCCTCCCACAAATGCTTTTATGGAGAAACCCACTCCTATTTTTTCCAAGCATTATTTTTCAGTAATCTAGTCTAGATGAAAAATGCTTTTTAATTGCAACTGTCACCAAGAGTTCACCTTCACCCCAAAAATGTAATTACTATTTGCATCAGTAAGCAATGCAGAAATACTAGTCACTCAACAGCAATTTATCTAGCAATTGATCAGTATAATTAGCTTGTACTTCCTTAAATTTTAATTACTGAATATTTACAAAGTCGTGGAATCTGATTTTGATTACTTCCCTAATTTCAGTTTCAGTGTAATATCGATCAGGGATGCTAGAATAGCAGCAATAGAAGTGAGAGCTTCCTCAAAGAAAAAGAGAAATCTAGGTACAGGTAGTCCTTGACTTACAATAGTTCATTTAGTGATGGTTCAAAATTACAATAGCACTGAAAAATGTGACTTATGACCATTTTTCATTGTTACAACCTTTGTAGCATCCCCATGATCCTGTAATGAAAATTCAGATGTTTGACAACTGGTCCATATTTATAACCTATGCTGTGTCCCAGGGTCATGAGATCACCTTTTTCTACCTTCTGACATGCAAAGTCAATAGGGAAGCCACATTCACTTAACAATCCTGTTAGTAACTTATCAACTTCAGTAGTTAACTTAACAACTATGGCAAGAAATGTCGTAAAATGGGCCAAAACTCATGTAACAAATATCTCACTGAACAACAGAAATTTTTGGGCTCAATTGTGGTCATTAAGTCGAGGACTACCTGTAGTGTAAGCAATTTGATCAAGGTGCTGGTTTTACCATTCAAACCCTAAAAGAAACTAGACACCATTTTATTTAAAAGAAGGTCACAGACTCTGAGATCATCAAGGGAGTAATTCCTCCACTGTGCAAACTCACATTTTGGGATCAGAAGATAACTGAATAAACAAGAATCTTCACAGACAGGACTTTCTGTAAAATCCCAATTGAGACAAGTTTTTTAACAAATAATTTATGGTATGGTTCTATTTGTTCTATGCAAAAGAAAGTTCCACTGAAATAAATATTTGGTCTCAGGTAACTGAGCAAAGAATTGAGGCCAGGCACAACTATTTAGACAAGTAAGCTATTGTCTTTACTGCAAAACCCCTTGTTAAACTGCTAGGAAGGAAATGCATTTCTAAAGAAAATATACATTCTGTAAACCAAATCCGCAAAACTACAAGTTACATAATTGCAGTCGTATCACATAGTAAATACTAAGAAATGATATCAAAAGCAGCAAGAGTAAATTATCTGGTGTCTTCCAGTTTCAAACACAATAAAACTGATGCAGCATGGCCAATCAGCATGGACATAAGGATTGGAATGGCACCCATTTGGCCTACTAATAAGAATTAGTATTATTCTGCTGAGATGTTTCTTGCTACTTCCAAAATACTTAACTAGGAAAAAAAGGACGGCAAAATCTGGGCCAACAAACCAGGTGTGTACAAATCCTTGAATGAATTTTAAGAATGTCTGGCATATTTTTTCACAATAGCCAAAGAATGATCTGAGATCATCAAGAAAGTTGTTCACTTAGAATTTTAAAAGCAAAACTTAAATATAGTTTAATTTAGTTTTTTTTTAATTTTTGTTATAAACTTTATCCCAATCTGAAGACTCTAAGCAATATACTGTTAGTTCTTCTTTTGTGACTACAACTGGAACTGGCAATTCAGTCATTAAATAAATGAAGCTGTGTGAATATTGGTCAGTTACTTTTTCATCACCATCATAACTGCAAACCGTTACTGTACAAGACAGTCACTAAACAAGAGCTACCTATATAACAAAGCAATTATATAAAAAGCAGCACTATAATAATAATCTCCCCAAGATGAACGTTCAATATGTATTAGGATTAAAAGAGAATGAAACAAATTTGTTTTATCTATGGAATGCCAAAAAGGAAGATGCTGCAAAAACCTCCTAGGGAAATGAAAGCAAAACAATGGGGACCAAAATGGAAAATTCCCGTTTTCTATTTCTCACATGGGTGGAGACTCTTACTGGGCATTCTCAAAATATTTGAACCAGCTGTGCAAATTCAATCATGGTAAGATGGTCCAGGACATATCCAGGTGATACTCCATACTTTTGAGCTGCCTACTGCTAATCAATACAAGAATTTCAAGAAGGTTATTGCCCATTGTTGACTTGCCAGTAGTTTATGCATCATGTTGTAGTCCAGATGTGGATTTTGGATCATCGCCAAAACTGCTCCATGTGGAGTATACTATAGAAATCCAATTGTAATTAAAGTCTGTGCTACTGTTGCTAGAGCACCCTGATTCATATTAGGCTATAAAGGATGAATCATAAAAGTAGTACAAAGGCCCTCCTGGATACAGCATTCACCAGCTATTTGTGAGGCTATAAGCCTAGGAGTCCAACTGATCCACAATCAACTTCTCAAAGCTCAACGGTATCAAGAGTAATTACTGCTGTTATCAGATTGCACAGATGTTTACTGCCATATAGCAGCTCAATTCTTACAGGATTAAATCTGAACTTGTTTCATCCCAGTCAATGTGTGCTGTGATTAAAAAAAGAATATCAGACAATCATAAAAGAATAACACATCCAAAACTTCCCCTTCCTTTCTATAAGATGAACCTTCAGTTTCTCAGAAGAACTGTACAAGAATAGAACAATATTTCAAACGTTCAGATATAACATCAAAGGAAGAGAAATACAACTTCCCATAACTTACTATTATTCCCCAAAGACCATTCTTAAATTCAGCTTCTTTGTCACTCTCTTACCATAAAAATATCAAGGCTGAAAGCAAACAAAGTACAAAAAAATAAACTTTATGGAATTTATTCTGTAAATATCAAGTGCAGATAGTGAAAGTCTAAAAGACGTGTGTAATTTGCATAAAGCTATACAGTATCTGCTCTGAGAAACTTCACCCACCTTGGCTGATCTCAAAAAAGCTGGAGATCAAGAAGCAATAAAGTATGTTCCTCAATGACTCCTCACTAATCTGAAAAGAAGTAACAAATGGAATAACACAATGTCCTGCTCTAGGCATAGTACTGAGTTTTACAGATAATCTGAATAAAGGAGAAAAATGGATGTTCATTAATTCTGCAAAATAACTCAAAGTGGGCAGGGGTGTTCCATATTTAAACAGACAATTGCATGGGTCCCTGATGATTGACATTTTCCATGACAGCAGAGGGTGTGAAAAAGATCTGGGCCATTTAATAGAACACACTAAACATTAGCACCTATAATGTGCAGTGACTAAAATAAAAGGTTCCATTCAATTCTGCTTTAGTTAAATTTTACCTGGAGTACTGCATGTATTTGTGAAGACTGTAAATTTAAAGAGAATATTGATAAATTGGAACATGCCCAGTGCAGAGTAACATAAATCATCAAGGCTAAGTTCTTTGTGGAAAGGTTAAAGAGACTGTTCTAGGTGGAAAGTACATTTAATTTGGAAAGAAGAGAACTAGGAGACAACATGATATTTATCTCTAAATACCACAAGCCTGGCAAATTTATTTCTTTCCATCCACAGGATAAGATCAGAATTATTAACTTCCAATGACAAGGAAAAGTCAGCATTTAGATTTTCTCTCCAAATAAGTTTTTCAGATAGTTGAACAAGCTGCATAATGGGAAGTAAATTTCTGTTGAAAATTTAAAGGACCTTGAGAAACATGCAATTAATTACTTTTACTACATAAGATGATATATGATATTTGAGAATGGAAACATGGAGCTTCCATATTCAGAGGCAGCATTCCTATAAATAACAAATGACTGAGCCAAAGACAGCTGTTATTTTAGTACACTGCTCATAACATCTCAGAAGAATTTATCAAAACAGAATGCTAGATCAAATTGGACTTTAATTCAATGCAATGATTTCCTAATATTTGTAAAAAAAACTTTAAAGTCACTTCTATAATTATCTAGGACTTCGCTTTTTTGGCCATAAGAAACAAGGATTAAATTGATGCCTATATTCCCAATTAGATAAAGTTTCTGCCAGTAAAGTTTATAGCAAACCATACTGACATTCTGCTTTATTATAGGTACTAGGAGATAAACCAAGTTGAAACAGGACAAATTTTCCACTAAATATCTTGGAACAGTACTTGAAAGCCATGTGTTATGTTACTCCAGGCAGAATCCAACAAGCACAGACATACATAAAGTTTCAGTAAGAGATATACATCTACCTGAAAAAGACTAGCCTTGCCAAGATAGTGAACTGCTCTAAAAACACCAACAGCTAGATTTCTAATCCAAATTAGATAAAAATATCCCCTCCGATTTAAACCGTCACCCCTTTGAAAGAGCACAAAGAGCAAATCAGCTCCCATAAGCTTGTTATATATATCATTATTTTAATAAATGAATCTTAATCTCTTGGGCTTCAGTATCATTATTTGTGTTGCAAGCCCCTGCCCTTATTTTGTTCATTGCACATAAAAATAAAATCCCAGGACCTTGTTTTTCTGCTCCATAGGCTAAGGTGATCAGTACCTTTCCCTGAGGCTGTACCCGCCTCACATTCAGTAGCTGAGGAGCACCGTTCTTTTGAAGCAATTTAGTATTTTTATTCAGGATGCCTCTAGGTCTAAAGGCAGGGCAAGATCTACTCTTCCACCACAGCAACCTGTGAGATCGACTAGGCTAAAAGCGATCGGCCTTCCCCGCTATAGTTTCCATAGGTTAGAGAGGGCTAGAATCTTGGTTTCCTTATAGCTCCTCATGAAAACTTTCGCCATCAACAGATCCTCGAAGAATCCTCAACAAACACCAACGGATTCCTAAGGTATTCTGTCAATCGGAGAAAAAGCAGCCCTCAGCCTAGCAGGCTTCTATGACAACGTTACAGCCACGGGTATGATATTTTACGCGCCGGCCCTTCCTTTCTAAAGATGAAGACCGCCAACTGACTGGACACCACAACCGAGATCGCTCCGGTGCCTTGGCCAGCGGCCCTCTTTATTTTGGCGCCAACCAGGGCATGAATTTCCATCACCGCCACATGTTCCCGTTGCCAGAGCAACGTTCCAATTCCCTGCTCCCCTCCCGCCCCTACGGTGAGCGACGCTTCCCTCTCCCGGCCGCCGCCCCCCTCCTTCTCAGGTGGCACCGCTTACCCCCGCCTTCTCTCCCTCCCTCCCTCCGTCCGCCGCCGCCGCCAGGTCTATCCCCCTCGTTCCCGTACCTCGTCGTGACCCCCGGAGACTCCTATGCCTCCGTTCCCCTTCGCCACCAGACCGCTCCTCCTCCTCCTCCCGCTATGGCCACAAGTGCCCCTGCGAAGCTCACTGGAGGAGGACCTCGGGCAAGGAGAACTCCGCCTCCGATCATAGAGTTGCAGCGCGGCTGTCGCTTAAAAAAAAAAAAGAAGCCCTGTTTACAACAGAGAGGGCGAAGGGGAGAAAAGCAGAAAGAAGCCCCGAGGCCTCCTGGGAAAGCACGCTCTTTGCGAGGCTCGGTGGCCATGGCAACAAGGCTCATCGCAATGGAGGGAGGCGTTGGCGTGCAGCCGCCGCCGCCGCCGCTTTGCGTTCATTACGAAATTCCGTTTTTCTCTCCTGCGGTTTTCAACTGCTGTATTCTCAGATCGCCGAGTTCTGATGCGTCTTCTGATTCTGTCGGGGTTGTTTGTTTGTTTGTTTGTGTCAGTTACAGCAGTGTTTCTCAACCTTGGTAACTTGAAGATGTCCGGACTTCAACTCCCAGAATTCCCCAGCCAGCATTCGCTGGCTGGGGAATTCTG